CTTCCCTGCTCCTGAAGGTCTGTCAAAAAAAAAAAAGAAAAAAAGAAAAAAAAGTCTGCTCCTTTGCAAAAGCAGCTCGCGTTGTGGACTCTTGTCAGAATGCCCGCACCTTTCCCCAGCCCCACACCGGGGAACAGACCCTGGCACCTGCCCCTCCCCAGCAGCCATTACACGATGTTCACAGAAAGTTAGTTTTCAGTCTCCTCCTCCCTCTACCCACAACCCATCCGGGTGCCGGACTGGAAGCATCTTGAAAGTAGGAAGTCACTCTCCGACTGGCCTCTGCCTTGGGACCTTCCGATCACTCCCTAAGTGATGGAGCGCTGTGGGGGTGGGGGGCCGTGAGCCACACAGAACCCGATCCGCCAACCCGGCTGCCCAGCCCGAACCCTGGGACGGGGGCGGGGGTAGGTTAGTACTTTGCCCTCTAGGACAGGCTCCAGCCTAACCCAGCCCACCCGGCTCAGCTCCGACTCTCAGAGGCGTGCCCACCCAGCCAGGTGATCTCGAACCTTCTCTATCACACACCCCAACAACAAACAACCCTCAGCTTTCTCCATCCGGAGAAAGGAGGTGGAGCCTGACCTCAGCCGGAGGCTGCTGCAGCTATGGAGGGGGGGGGAGGGGGCTCACTACTCCAGTCTTGGGGTGGGGGAGTCTTTCCTCCAGGGAGTGGCAAGGGTGGGGGCCTTGGAGGGCTCCCAAGCTTCAGGAAAGCCCTCCCCCAGCGGTGTCTACCCTCCGCCGGCGAAGGGAGAATGCAGAAGAGGTGGCTTTAGTGAATGCGACTTGTGACTGTCCCTCTCCGGCTGAAGTGCCCTCGGGCCCCTCTCCGCCATTTATGCCCTCCTCCCCCCCCAACAACCTTCTAGCCTTAAGGGCTGGATGAACCTAGGTGCCTGGTAGGCGGCGGAGAGGAGAAGCAGCTTTACTGCGCTCTAGGGAGCTGAGGTGTGCCCATCCCCCATCCCTTGACGGGTGGGGGTGCAGGCGGACCCCAGGGACGCCGACTAGGGGAGGAAGGAGCCTGAAATAGGTGTAAGCAGCAGTTGTTGGCATTGCAGGGAAGCAGCTCGGGTGAGGGGTAGAGAATGCAGCTTAAGGGGAAGGCCGGGGACCCAACGAGGGTAGGAGTCCAGTGTCAAAGGGAAGGAGAATGCAGAAACAGCTTTCACTGGGAGGGGCAGCTGCAAAGACTTCCCTGGCTAGCAATCTGGAGGCTAGCGCTGGACAGATGGGGGTTTTGGACACAGCACCATGGCATGCGGCCCCCAAAGTCTGAGCGCATGCGGATTGTGCGAAGACTGGTCCCACTCAGACCCCCGATCACCCGGACCCAGCCTGTGGCAATAGGCGTCCTTAGGGAAGAGAAACGATCCTCTTTGATGGGCACTTAACAACTGGCTTCTTGGTGGCAGGAGGGGGCCCGTCCCCTCCGGCTTAGTTAGAAAGGGAGTACTTCTGACTCTCCTATCCCTAGGGAAAGAGGCCACAGCAGGTAAAAAACAGAGTTCTACACTTGGCTTTGCCTGAGGGCAAATAATTTCCGGAAGTCCCTTTAGGAGGGGGTGTTCTGACCCCTCTGAAGAGGGAGCGGGTCCCAGCAAAAGGGGGCTTCATTTGACGGGGGGAGGGGCCAAGTGGCATAAAATTTAATCCATGCCAAGGTGTCCCTGCACAAGAGAGCCAGTCCTTCATCTTGTCCAGTGGAGCTTAGGGGCCAGGTTGCTTAGAGTTCTGGGACCTGGAATTTGGACGTTCTGAGGAGAGGCAGAGGAGGGCTGCCTGTCTACACCGGGAAAGGCGACACCTGGGCATGACATCGAGGCAGGTGAAAGTGGTCAGTGCCACCTTCACAGAAACTTCGCTGCGGGTTTGGGTGCCCTGCCCGTGCCAGGTGGCTGGATCTCTTGGGGCAGGCGGTCTGCTGGGACTGCAGCGGCAGTTGGGGGGAGGTGCTTCGCGGCTGAACTGGGGATGACAGAGCAGCCAGTCTGTCCCTGCTGTCAGTCTGGTTGTACTTGGTGGGGGAGGGGTGTGCAGCACGTTCTCTCTGGCCCTGGATGTTCTCCTCCAGGCATCCATCTCCTCGGCTCTTCTGCTCCGAGGCAGCTAACCCTTACTGAAAGGTCGGGAGGTGCTTAGGTAAAGAGCAAGCCTCTTCTGCGGGCTGCGGTGAGCAGGGGTGGGGGTAGATAGTCGTGGAGACCTGATGGGTCCATTCCTCTTTCCAGACCAAGTGACAAACCCTTTTTTGGCCCGAGAGAGGAAAGGTGACAGCCCCCAGGCACTGGCACAGCTGTTCTGGTGGAGTGGGATGGGAGCAGCATGCTCTAAAGAAAGGCTGGAAAAACTAAGAGAGCTGGAGCCTTTTCAGAGAGGCTCTGGATTGGGAAGGAAGATGGACCAGATGCAGAGGTTCCTGAAAATGGAGTGAGAGAGGACAGGAGGCCAGAAGGTCCCTTTGGGGTACAAGCAGCCTGTATAATAACCCTGGCCTCCTCTTAGCTGACTTGTTGGCCAGCTTTAAAAAGCGAGAGAGAAGGGGGCCCAGGAGATCAGTGGGCTGCTAAAGGAGGAACATCAAGTGCCTTTAGCAAGCCATTGCTGCCCCCTCCCCCCAGCCCACTGAGCCTGAGCCACCTGGGGCAAAAGATCCAGCCGCCCACAGGGAAAGCTCTGAGGACTGAGTTCCTTTGGATGGAGCAGGCTGGGCAGTCTAAGTAGCTCCTGGGGGCTTTGCCTCTTTCACAGTCGGGATTCTCTGTTCCCTCCTACCTGGGTCCCAGAGATGTTAACTCTTGCCCTCTAGTACCAGGGCCACGGGGTTTAGCCTGAAGGTGTCAGGGAGAAGCCCACGCCAGCAATGTTGCTCTCTCCGTTCTCATGCTGAAAGTGGCCTGCCACTTGAGTATCCTTCCCTGTGACCTATCTTTCCTGATTCTCAGTCCCAGTCCCCCCACTATCAGAGATAAAGCAGCTATGTCCCCTTATCCCCTCTCCTTCTTCAACCTTCGGGAGCTTCAGCGGCCATTTAGGTGCCTTCTACTCCCGATCTGATGGGGACTGAGGTCTACCGTGAGACACGACCATGGACTTGGCCGAAGAGAGGGGCTAATTTTGTGAGATGGACAGTAGGGCTGGCCTGTGTGTACTGGGAAGGACTGTTGGGAATCTTTGCCTTGAGAAGGAAGAGAAAAGTCCTTCAGGGTCCTACTTTCCAAGGTCTGAGAGGTTGCCTTCCCTAACGATGGGAAGCAGACAGAAGGGAAGTGGTCCTAAGAGAGAGTTTGGCCCTTTGAGAAGTTTGTGCACCACGGTTTAGCACGGCCTTGGTAAACCATGCCCTGTAGGTAGTCTGGGGGTCCTCCCGCATAGTTCTGGAAGCAAATGAACTGCTTTTTTCTTTTTCTTTTTGTGAGGGAGGCAACTGCCCAGCCACGGAGACTGGCAGCCCTAGTTCCCTTCAAAGCTGCCTGGGTCAGTGCTTCAGTAGCATGGTCTGGGAGAGGTGGGGCACAGGATATAGGGCAGGAGGAGCCCCTAAGCCACTGTTTAAGGCTCGGTTTTTCCTGCTTACTAGCCAGGCTTCCTCAGCAGCACTCTGGGCGCTTCTCTGCCCTAGGCGTTCCAGGGCCCAGCCCCTCCCCGGCTGCTCCCAGGCTCGGGTGACTTGACACTACCCTTTCTGCTCCTGCTCCTTTACCTCCCTAAGCGCCCCTCCCCCGCCTGAATTGGGAATGAGGCTTTGTTCAGGGGTGGACTCTCAAGGATTTCTCAAGAACCTACTGTGTGCACATTACAGCTCCTTGAAGTGAAGTCCTGGGCTGGCTCTGGCGCGACAAGGTGTCCAGGACACAGTTCTTTCCCGCACCTCATAGGGACCTCCCACCCCTTCATATGACCTCAGCCTGCTGTGCCCACCCACCCAGCTGACCCCGAGAGCGTGCACAGGCTTGGAAAAGCACGTCTGTGGGTGTGAGAGACGGAGCCACAGCAGAAGGTGACTATGGGGAAGCTAGGTAAGTGTCTGCATTGGGTCTACGCTGGCTTGGGGACGCCAAGGAAGGTGTCCAGCCGCGCCTGTTGGGCTGCCCGCCCCTTTCGCCCTCCCTCGGAGAGCTCTGATGTTCCCCGCGGTGGTGGAAGAGGGTGTGTGGGTGTCAAGGACTCACAGACCGGGTTCTGCTGTCAGCTGGAAATGGATGAGGGTTCCACACTCGGCTTCTGAAAGAGGGCGAATTGGGAGCCGGGGTGGGGGGCGGTAGGTGAAGGGTAGAAAGAGGAAAAAGAGATGCGGGTGAGGGGTTACCAAGCCAGGACCGACCTTGCTAGGAAGGAAAGGAGACGTGGCAAGCAGGGAAGTCGGAAAGATGAGGCAAGGGCGGGAGGGGCTTCTCAGCAGTCGGGGCCCTTTCGCGCGAGTCTGGGGCCCTTTCAGCAGAAAAGGGGGTGTTGTTCTTGCTTGATTTTTCGGCTGGTCTTCTCGAAGATTGCCCCAGGGCAGCAGCCTGAGGAGGGTGGGGTGTCCCTCGGCCCGCAGTTTACTGTAGCGGGTGCTTAGAGAGGTTACCAGGGAAGAGGGATGTAGAAGGGTGACGGTCAGGGCGGGGGGGGGGTGAGCTAAGATTTCTCAGGGTGGGGGTCTGCCGCTGAGGGGCTGGGGCTTCAGGGTCAGGTCACCATGGGATACGGGCACAGGCTCCGAAGACGAGGAGAAAACCCAAGAAGCCGGCAAAGAAAATCATCCCCCCGCCACCACCCTTGGCACCGTACCCCTCCCCCCAGGCCCCACCACTCCCCGCACCGCCTCCCCCGGCCGCCTCGTGCTGCCCCCTGCGTCGGGACGACCGACCCGCGATTCTGATTGGTTGGAAAGCGGGAGGGGGAGCCGAGGGCCGGATTGGCTGGCGGGGCCAGCGCAGGGCGGGGCGGCTGATTGGCGGAGCTTGCCGAGGGGCGCGCCGCTGATTGGCTGGAGACGAGGAAGCAGGAAGGAGGGCGGCGGAGGCTCCGCTCTCGGGGAGTTTGTGGGGGAACCGCGAGCGGCGTAGCGGATCCCGGAGCCCGGCCCCCGCTGCCCGCCCGTCTGGCCGCCTGCCCCGCCCGTCCGGCCCTTGCCGTCCGCCCGCCCGGGCCAGGCGCGCCCGCCCCCCCGACGGCCCCGCCCGACCGCGGCCCCCGCTCCGCCCGCCCGGCCCCGGCCCCCAGGAGGAGGCGCTGACGCAGCAGCGTGGAGCCCGGGAATTGAGCGCCCCCGGGGGGTTCCAGCCGCCGGATTCCAGCCCGGCCGGGGCCTGCGGGCGCCCAAAGCCGCGCCGTCCGCGTCGCTCGTCCCGGTGAGCGAGGGGCCGGGATCCAGGAGGGGGAAGGGGCGGGCGGGCGAGCGAGCTAGGTAGGCGGACTAGCAAAAGGGAGAGGACCGGCCGCCCGTCAGCGCGCCCCGCCGAGCGCGCCGCGCCGCCGCCCCCGCCAGCCCCGGGAAGGGACGGACGGACGACAAGAAGCAGGTGCGGCCGCCTGCCCGCCCGCGCGCGCCGCCTCCCTCCCCCGGGTCCGGCGCCGCGGTCCCGCCATCGGGGAGCGCGGCGCGCCTCGAGGTGACAGCCCCCGGGGGGCGCCCGCCTCACAGGCCGGGGGCGGGGTGGGTGGCGGCCGCAGGGTGGCAGCTTGGCCGGGCGGCGGTGGCGCGGGCGTCCCGGGCTACGGAGGGCGGGAGGACGCGGGGCGCTTCCTCGCCGCGGTGGAGCCGGCTCGCCTCCGAGTGCGCGGGCGGCAAGGCCCCCGCCGCGCCCCCTCCCCCATCGCGGTCCCCGAGGCAAGGGGCCGCGGCCGGGGGCGTCGCCGCGGGATCGCCCTCTCGGGGTAGGGGGGCGCCCTCCCGGGTTGGGAGCAGACCGGCTATTGCCGGTGGGGGGGGTGGGGATGGGGGCCGCGCCAGGGCGAGGGGTAGTGTGGACCCGATCGGGTCGGACTGGAGGAAGGGAGGCGCCGAAGACGGAAGGGGACCGGTTCGAACAGCGAGTGTGGGCCGCGGGAGGCCCTGTGGGGACCGTGCGGGGCGGCGGCCGAGTCCGAGGTGGGGCGGGGGCAATCGAAGTTGTCAGACCGCCTCCAAGTGACAGCGGGACCCGGTGCTCCAGGCCCGGCCTGCTTGTACCCTTCCAACCCCGCCGCCTCTCCTCCGGGGCTGGGGGCCGGGTCAGGTCGGGCCCGAGGGGCCCGCTCGGCGATGAAGGGCCGGACAAAGGCGGCGCCCGAGCGGGCGCAGGTAGTGGTATCGGGGAGGGGAGCGAGTCCGGGGCACCCACCCCAAGGGGCGGGCGACGGGGCCGGACTCTGCCCTGGGGACTGCGGGGGCCGGGGCGTCCACCGGGAGGAGCTGCGGCACTGGCTCTGGGCTCTAGCCGCAGATCGCCTCGCGGCTCCGGGAAGAGTGGGGTCGACTTAGCCAAGGCGGAGGGGCAGGAGTGGGGGGTGTGTGCGCACCGAGTGCCCTGGCCGGTGGCGAACCGGCTTGGTGGACTCATGGAGGCAAGCAGAGCCTGCTAGCAGTGAGAGGCGTTCAGCAAGTCTGCCTACCGGTAGAGGTTTAACTCCACCTGGGATGTCTCCTAGTGGCCCATTGTCGGCAGTCTTAAGAGCACCGACAACTGACTACTTGGATTGGGACTAAGGGACCCACCCCCCTACACACACACCCACTGTGCCTGTCGATGCCTTCACTACTGCTGTAGCAGTTTTTCTTAGCTAAGAAGGTACCCACATAGGGACGTGATAAGCGAAGTCCATAAATCCAAGGAGAAATGTGATGATGAGATAAAGTGAGGTTTCCAGTTGTCTTTTGTGCCACCGGACACGTTTCTTCCCATCTTCTGCACCTGCATATCTTCTACTAAAAGGAGTAAAGAGCTTCTGAGGGACCACATTTCTCAGGGACAACATTGTCCTAGGGCACTTTGGAATCCCTGACTTAAGCTGAGAGTGCTGATAACCCCAGCAGTGACCAGCTCTAGGCTGTATGCTGTTTACACGTTTGTAAAAGACTCACTCAGCTCCAGTGCCCCCCCCCCCCATGTGAACATGTTGGGAACAGGAAGAGAGGAGACTCGGGCTAATGACAGCTGAGACCATGGCCTTTTGCTGAGAAAAATCTGGGTTGGAGTGGCACACCAGGGGGACTTGTCAAGAGCCCCATTCGGCTGAGGTTGGCTGTAAGCCCTTGATGAGAAAGCTACCTGTCTGCCTAGGGGGACTGGGCAGTAGGATATGGAGTTCATTCATGGCACCCATTGCTCTCCCCGGGAAAGCCTGTACCCCAGCTTGGGTGGAGTTGAGGCTTGTGGGAAAAGGGAGTATTACTTCTCACAAGAGACTGAAGTTTGTTTGACAGAATTTAATTGTATGTCTAAAATCCAGAGAAGGCTGGAGAATCTGTGCTTTTGCTGTGGTTGCACTGTATGTGACTTCTTTTGGTAGCAGTCAGAAGGGTGACCTGATTTGGCTGCTGGAAGGTTAAAAGGAGTTGCCAAAATAACATTTCCCTCTGTGGTAGGGATTTTACCTGGCAGGAGACTCATGCCTGTCAGATCAGTGTTGAGGGGAGCTGAGCCATTAGTATGTTTCTGCTCTCTGTTCCTCTCTGTCCCTCTGTCCTTCTTTCTCTCCTTCCCAACCCTTGCTCTCACGCTGTAGCTGAGGCTAGCCAGGAACTTTCAGCAATCCTTCTGTCTGCCTCCTGAGTGCTGGAATTATCTCTACCACTGTGCTGGTTTGGGTTTGTTCTTTCGCTGTCTCCCTCCCTTCCTTTCTGTTGCCATGTTCCCATGTCATTTTCCTCTTGCTTCCTCTGCCTCTTCTGATCCAATCTGTGCACAGCTACCAGATCATTCTCCCCACAGGACCCCTTCCACGAGTCAGTTTCTTACTCACTAAATTGTGGTTGCTCTCTCTTCCCTGCATTCTGACCCTCGACAGTGTCCCCAAGGCTGCTCACCAGTCACTCTGCACATTTGTCTCTCCTCTGCCCTTTGCTCCTGGCTCTTCCCTTTCCTTCTCTTCCACTTGTCCATTGTCTTGGTGTTGTTCAGGAAAATGTATTTTCTAGCACGGTGTCTTCTCAAATATTTTGTGAGCTGGAAGTTTCTTAAGGATAGGGGTAGTGAATTAAAGTGTACGTGTGTGTGTGGGGGGGTCTGTTCTGGAATAGAGAGGAACCTGGCTTTTCTAGAAATGCCCTGTATGGATTCAGTCCTTGGAGGGCTCTGACCCTTTCTGTCAAACGTATATAAATAGGGCATGTTTGTGAGGCTCTCATGGGTGTTTTCTTTTGCTGCTGTTCTGACCCATCTGCTGGTGAAGTCGGTCCTAGATAGTTCATGTGACACCACACAGACATGAATTGAAAAGGGGCTGTAACCCTGTTTTCCTCCTGTCCCCACTAAACCATCCTCTCCCTCTCTTCTACCCAGCTTTTCTGTTCATTTGCAATTTGCTTGCTGTCCATGCTAAATGAATCCATATGTTTTACCTCTTCTCATCTGGGTGTAAATAAGGGAGAAAACACTCTTAGGCGAACAGAGGAGAAAAATAAACCTGGGCTAGTCCATGGATGGGCTTCGTAGGGTCCTTTTCTAGAAAGTGTTTTTCCGCTTTGGGGGCTCTGTCTGTCCCGTGTTGGACCTTTGAGGAGGGAGTGCTATCCTTCCAGCGCTCTTAGAAGTTGGTTTGTGTTGGTGATCAAGCATGGACCTGGGAACGTGGGAGAAGACTGGTGCTGCTTTGACGCTCAGTGGTGAAGAAGCATATCTTGCATCCATCCTCTTTCCCCCAAACCTCTCTTTTGTGCCCCAGTTTGATGATTAATGGACCAGCATTTCCCTTCCAATCAGGAAGGCCACCCCTTACAGTTGCCATGGTAATGCAGACCTCTCCCCCGTCAGTTAAGAAAAAAAACCTACTACTTCTTATCCTTTACTGTAAGGGAAAAGCCACCCCAGAACGCCTCTCCTGGGCTCCTCATCTGCTTGCTCTGTCTGCGGTGTGCATCCTGGGACAGAGTCCTTTCCCTACTCGGGGACATTGCCTGAGTACCTCAACCAGAGTCTGCACTTGTCAGAACCGGCAGGAGAGGAAACAGCCTTTAAATTTATTCATCCATGATGCAAAGTACAATCCAGAAAGAGCCCTTCTCCTTTAGGGATACAGGAGGCGCCCTCCGTATGCTCTCCAGTATTTAGAGGTATGAACTGGGTAGCATTTGACACCTGAGAAGGAAATTTCAGTAGAGCAGAAAGAAAATCAGCCTAGCATATCTACTAGAAATTGGAGTTCAGTGAAAATGTGGTAATTATTTTCATTTCACCCCACCTCTCCATCAGAGCATCTAAGAGGACTTAGAATGTTTTCGTTTTATCTACTGTTGTTCCTCCTGACCTTGCTCAGGCAACATCTGGCCTCAGTGCCCTGTCGCAAGGTGAGTCATTAAGGAGGAGGAAAAAACCTTAAGGAGGAAAAAAAAAATCCCCAGAGCTCAAAAGTAGTCTGTGTTGAACTCAAGCTGCCAGCAAAGCTGGCGAGTTTATGGAGCATTATATGAACAGTCCGACATTAAAGGGCCTCCTTTTTATGAATGGGTCGTGAAGAATGTAAATAAAGCAGCATCTCTCAATGGGGAAGCATTTTACATAAGCAGCACTACCCCAGCCCAAGTATTTATGGGAACTTGCTAGCACTGTCTGGCAAGGCTTGTTTCCTTTGTGTCGTGACTTTGGAGGGACAAGGGGAGTGTGAGGAGAGTGCGCTTTGGCTCTGCGGGTTTGGCCTTGTCTTAGTGGCCAGCACAGTGTCTGTTAGCCCTAAAAAGATGGAAGAATACCACGTGTGGTCCAGAGCTTGTGAAAATTAGCAGCAGAGGTTCCTGATACCTGGTGGTGTAAGATTCTGCATGCAGCTTCTGACCCCTCAGGCTGCTTAGATCTTCCTAGGTCATGCCCAGGAGGTCTTGGATGATGAGATCCTACCTGGTTTTATGGGAGGCACCTAGCTGGAATAAAATGTACTGGTTTGAATTTCAGCACCTTTATCTTTCTATAGCCCCTCTCCTGGTTTTGCCACTAATGAGCTGTAAGCCAGCTAAAAAGTGGAGGAAGCAGTGGGCACCGAACATTCCTGCTCAGGGCTGCCAAGTCCCGGGGTCCCAGTGAGGGCCTGGGTGTCCTGTCCCTGGCATCTTGGTGTGAAAGCTGGGGATGAGAGGCCACTGGGTTTGGAGAACAGAGCCCAGAGTGCAGTCACTTCTCAGACTTGGTGTCCTGGAGTAGTGGTCATTGCATTTCTC